CAAGTAAAGCCTTCCTTTAAATCAAATTTGTCTTGGGAGAATGGGGTCACCTGTGTGTGAGACCTCCGACCTCTTCACCAGACATTCCCCAGCTTGTTCCTCCCACACGCAGATACAAGTACTCTACTCCATGAGGAATTCACAGAGCATGTTATTTAACACCTATCACTTTATGGGAGACGATGCACAAGTACAGCCCAAGAGGACATCACTGAGCTCACAGAAAATGCACAATGCAGACTGTTGATAACAGTAAACCACAGCATAGACGCAGGCAGGACACACTTCCTTTGAGAGAAAGACCTGAGGATACTGGAACCTGTGTTTCTCAACCTATTCTTCTTGTTCAGACGAATGCAGAATGGAAAGAGAGACAGAGAATCCAGCTGCCAACTTTTACAACAGCTTTGGGCCAGTGTCTCACTGTGACTGTGGGCAAACCACTTAGAGATGCTGCAAAATTGCAAGACCTTGTGCAGATTTTCAATTGGAATCAAACCGAATAGGAATGCATGACAAATGTGTGATCGTTTCTAAACATGGCCGGGACACGTGGGACATATGTGCAAACCAAACAACTGGAATTGTTTTAGCTAGACATTCAAAAGAAGCTTTAGGTTGAAACTGGAATAATAATTTCTTTTGTGCTTGCTTCTACTGAGACTTTTGGGTCCCAATCCTACAAATGAATCGTATGGTTCTTCGTCCTGATGTGAAGAAGTTCCAGCAGTTAACTTCTGTTGATTCCCACAGTCCTTACTTTGTTGCTATGCGTTCCCAAAAATGTTTTCTAATGTGTTCAGCAGTAATTAGCTACTTAGTGCTTTTAAAACACTGTGATTGTGTTCAGGGGGTGTGTGACAGATACTTTCAGCTCCACATGCCGACAGCACAGACTCTGGCTCAAAAAGCACAGCATGACAACAGGAACAAGGAAGCATGGCTTGATTTTTCCACAAGTGAGGAAATGTTTGGACTATTTTTATTCACGCCAATGATCAACTCACACCTGCATGCTCCAGACCAGCACATTACCACATTTTTGTTTTAACAGAAGTTGTCACTGTTGCTGATGATCCTTTGATGAAGTACATTTGGGTATTGGGATGTGACCTTTAAGGTTGGTTTATGCTTGACGTGTCCGCGAGGTCCGCACGGCGAAATTGCGTCATTTTAACAACCACGCCCCTCCACCGCGTCTTTGCACTGCCTAAAATTTCCGCAATGCGCACCTAGGAAAATTTCTAACCACGCGGACGGTCGGACGCAGAAAAACATGGCGGACCGGCAAGAACTAGTATGGCAGAGGTTCGTAAATACAGACATTTGTATGATTCGGCTCTCAGAGATCACCGTGATCAACATGTTGTAAATAATTCTTGGAGAGAAATAGCTCGCACTGCCGGAAAAGATGAGAACGCTGTTGAAAATGCTGAAACGCCGTGTTGTAAACAGTCATTTTTACTTCTACTATGGTGTAGTGTTGGATGCATGCCGTAGAGCTCCATGCTGCCCCCTACAGTTTGGGAGAATATTGGCTCACCGCAGAGACAAGCCGCATGAACCATAAACGCTGCGAGTTGTGAAGCGCGTTCCATCCGCGAGCCGCATCACCGCGCGGAAAGTAAATGTGTCAAGCATAAACCAAGCTTTAGTCACCAAACACTCTCAAAGTTTACTGCCCCTTTTGTCTCACAATAACTCATTTAAGAAGACTTTAGGATGAGTTGACGCCCACAGCAGCTCTGTGAACAATTTTCCTTTCCAAGCATCTTGAATCCAACAAAATGAAAATGAGGCCTTGCAACGTGTGAGAAAATTGTGAACGTTAGAAAACGTTTTCCTGACATTCTGGAAAATGTTTTAAAAATGTGCCGGTTGCATTTTTCATTAAAGAGACACAAAACCCCCAAACCCCCAAAAGATGACATTCGGGCATTACATTATCTACTGTTTATATAGAACAATTGCAAACAGGATTCACAAACAAACAAGGCATCTGTGGTGCCACTTTAGTCAAGGTCAGAGCAGGAAGTGTATGCATTAAAGTTCTTTAAACATCCCTTATAGTGTCACTAAAAGAACATATGTAAAAGCAGGTTTGTTTCCAAAGGCTACCTCCTCCAGAACGTGTCAGTGTAAACAGCTCTCACGTGATCACAAGTGGCTTCTAAACTGAGATCCTACCAATTGAAAAATGTGAATATTGGCAGGAAATGATGGAAGACTGTGGGAGAGACCTGCTAACCAGAAGGAAGTGTGTTTCCCCACATCAGTGAATGAGGCTAAGTCATAAACAAGTTCATTACAGGACTATAAACTCACAGTGGTGAATCAGCGAGTTTATTCATTTCATTTTAAATGTAATCAAATAATTATGAGATGGAATGGAAGAGGGCGACCTAAAAAACTGGAAATTTTCTAAAATGTGCAGACTGGATCATTTAGTGAGCAAAATAAAAATAAACTATATTTAGAGAATGCTTTTTGTTGTGGAATATGAACAATTTTGACAGGATGATACGAATTTATGTGCAAATGTTTCACTGGATTCAGTTTCCCCAGTAAACACAAATAGTTGTACAAGATTAAATTCTCTAACAACCCTTGACAATGCAAATTGACTGTAGCAACAAGCAGTTACAGTTGTTACAGAGCTGATTATGTGCCTGCTCGTCTTAACGTGTGTGTGTGTGTGTGTGTGTGTGTGTGTGTGTGTGTGTGTGTGTGTGTGTGTGTGTGTGTGTGTGTGTGTGTGTGTGTGTGTGTGTGTGTGTGTGTGTGTGTGTGTGTGTGTGTGTGTGTGTGTGCGTGCGTGTTTCCTGATGTCTACGGTGAATCACATCTTCTGCCATGATTTATTTTCATTATCTTGAGGTTTTGATGCTAGCAGAAGATGTTTAACGTACGATCCCTTGTTTCAATTTCAGGCTCCTTCCATACGAGGTAAGATATTATTGTTCTTGGAGGAATCTTCCAAATCTAAACCAAATAAATCGTGCTGTGTTAGAGCTGCTCCAAACAAAGACAATCAGGCCTTCAGTCAAGCAAAACAATCTGAATTAGCACAGCCGCCCCTAATTCGGATTTCTTTCCCCGGAAAGAATCTTTGTCTCTCTTCCACATCAAAACAGAAAGGAAGCAGTGACCTAATTTGTCAGGAGGCAGATACAGTAAGCAGAATGCTTGATTGCTGATGTTGCACATCACACAGCTTTGGGGCCATTTTTATGCGACGGAGCATGACCCAAGATGCTGTTTGACGACCTTGCATCTGCACTTGTTCATTGGATTATACACAAGCCTAACCGTTGAAATCTGAGACAACAAATAAGAGGAGAATTTAGATCATATATATAAGGTTTTAGACACAATTTTTAAAATGCAGTTCAACACCTAGCAATAAATAAATAATAACATTACTTTCATAATCACATCTTTCACATTAATAAAAAAACTAAATGTTGTGGATAGGCGTTGCCTTGGGTCACATGGTGTTGGTAATAGTAATAGTGATTGCTATCACCTGTGGAGATGAGGGAATGGGAGAGTGAGTGGGTGATGAGGGGAGTCGACTTTTTTGCTGACCGCTCAAGCTTAGAATGTTTTTTTATTTATCACTGTTTTCAACGGATTTTAAGGCTTTGATAACAAATAAAGGAGTTTTTTAACCTGGAACTTTGACTTACGAGTGGAACAGCGGGCGCGTCAACATTATTCCCCTATTCAGCTGCTCGGCGACTCAAAGGCTTGACAGTCGCCAAAACTAAAGAAAATATTTGAATTATTGCTCTTTAAGGTAAAAAAAGGAACTGTTCGAAATTATCATGCAGTACAAAAGGAAAGAAATCTGCATCGGCCCTGGAAACCGTAATCGGTGCATTAGATGTGTCTAACTCACAGGCGACCCCCCCAGTGAAAGCTTTACAGTTAACCGATTCTCCTGACCATTCCCTCACCTGCCCTGTGCATTCCTCAGAGACATCTTTATAGCTGCAGCATCAAGTCAACATCCTGTCATCCAGCTGAATAAGGAGAGAGTGTGTTGCTGAGAGCCATTTGAGGGATTCCAGCAGGACAGTCCTCAGCCACCCAGACAGACAGACCGACAGCTCTTAGAAGAGGCTCTAAATGTTGGCTATTTGCAGTTATTTGTTTGGCAAACCACTAATTAGACGTCCAGTCTGGCACCAGTCAGGATTTCTGCCTATTAAATCTGCTGTTTTCCTATTTTCATGTTAGTTCTTTTCTGCAGAATTGTGCCACCTTCAGTAGTTTTCAGTTTTACATCAAGGTCATCATCTATACAGCATCCCGGACGCCTCTCCTGGAAGTAAAATCCACAGACTCGCACGCGCAATTCCGCGTGATTGACGGACCCTGACGTGCTCTGGTCTGCTGGATGCTCTTTGTTGCTGTTTTTTTTTTTCTTTGACTCCGGATTTTTGGACTGCGGCTGACAAGCCAGCACGTCCCCGGGTCGAGCTGACTGCATTCCCTCATACTCACGGAGGAGAAGCCGAGGCGGCAACTCTTCATCCGTCGCGCCAAATAAACAACTGCGTCCTGCGGTGAGGCACGTATGCAGAATAGGGACATTAATAATAATAACGCGCACCTACACGGGCCGACAGGCTGTCACGGGATAATGTGATTGCATTGATTACGCTCCAGAGAGGTAGTAGTCCTTATTACCTCTCCTCGCATCCGAGCGACGCCCATCACCCTGCTGCCCCCATCTCCTGGATTTGTGCAAGCTAATATTACACCTTAACCTCCATCCTTGTTCTGTTTATACTGAGGCCAGTTTCGCCCCCCAAGCGCAATAATCGCAGGCCACATTCCCATGGGCATCCAAAGTCAGCGCTGCCACACAGCTTCCAGATCATCTCACCAAGACGCACACTGACAACAGCTGACATGGAGACGGATCGCAGATTTCGTCAGGAAGGACACACATTCTGCAACATTCAGGATGAAAAGAAAAGCGGGGTTCTTACCGTGTCACCAGTGAGACGGCAGCGTATGCATCCCGCGCAGGATGGGGTCGGGGATAGCCTTTTTTCGTTGCTCTTTCGCGCAAATAATTCACTCCGACTCTCTGGTTAATTCTTGCTGCTGCACAAAATAAAAGCGAATAATAAGGACGTGCACGAGTCCTCCTGAAAGAAGGGATGAAAACAGCTGCGTGCTTATTATCCCGATCAGCCGCGCTCACACGGGAGGAGGGAGCGTCCAAACGCACGAGCCCAGCGGAGAGCTGGAGGAGGACAGAGGCGTATCTCTCTCTCCCTCTCGATCCGTCTGTCTGTATCCCGTCCTCCCCTCCCTCTCCCTCTCTCCTTGTCTCCCTCTTTATGTCTCTCTGGGCTGCCTTTATGTTCTTACTGACTTCTGCTGAAGTCCAGAGCGCAGCGGAGCAGAGGACCGTGTTCAGCACGCAGAGAGAGAGAGAGGGAGAGGGGTCAGAAATGACAAACCAATTTAGGAGCGCGGTGAATGCTCGGCTGATCTGAGCTCAGGATGCCCCGGCGAGGGAAGTCGGCAGGCGGGGAGCCGAAGCGAGGGGTGGGTGGAGGGCCGGAGAAAAGGTGATGATTCCTGCCTGGAAGATGCAGGAAGAGAAAGAGGGAGAGATGAAAAAGGGGTGTCTGGTGGAAAACGCGGAACTGGATCTCGCTCCCAAATCTTTGGACGTAGGGCTCCACCTGCCGTGTGTGAACACACACGCACGCACACAAAGTCCTTGGGAAATGGCCATGAAGTTAAAGGACACCAGCTCAGAGTGTGTGCTGCTTATTGCTCATAATGGAGCATAAACGCACGTGCATCGCCTCTGCGTGACAAGAGCAGGAGAACTTGTGACTGGCAGCTAAATCAAGATGAATTTACTGAAATCAAATGATTTATTCGAGCTTTGTCTGTCACAGACCCCTGTAACCCTAACTATGGCAACAGAAAGATGAAGCACAGCAGGGACTACTAGGATGCTTACACTGATCATTCAGTTATATTCAGTTGGATTTATGAGGAAGGTTTTTGGTCAGTTTATTATTTATTTATTGTAGACAGCTCTATGAACAGCTCCTGTTAGGAGAAATGGATATTACAGATATGATAAATGATGAATGACCCGCATTTGGATAGCGCCTCTCAGAGTAAGGACTCCAAAGTGCTTTACACTACAGTGTATCATTCATCTATTCACACACACATTCACAAACTGATGGTGATGAGCTACGATGTAGCCACAGCTGCCCTGGGGCAACCTGACAGAGGCGAGGTTGAATGGACAGTGGAGCTAAAAACAAGCCACTATGGTACAAGTTACATGTCTTAAGCCTGATTTATACGTCTCTGTGAGCTCCGCAATTGGAGCAACACACTCTCACACCTGAAGCAGCTAAAACCGATGTAATGAGTTGATTCACATGTTATATAATAAGACATAAGATTCCACAGCAAATATGAAATCAACCTTATGGATCTGTGGGTACTTGGAACTTTTTATTGCAGGGATTAGATAACAGCTTCGTGTTCACTCAGAGACAACAGAAGAGAGAGTCAGGTTTAAAGGTTTATTACTAAACAAATTAAACTAGACTAACTTTAACACTAAATGTATGGTGTAACTAAGGTGAAGTGAGACGGAGAATGGTGTAATGTGGAATGTTGTTCAGAACCAGCAAATCCGAAGAAACGATTAGTTCTGGTGGGAGTGAAGGTGATGTCTTCGCGCTAAGCTTTGATTAGGAGATTCATAAACGCGTTCGACGCCATCGTGTCGGTCTACGTACCCTTAGCGGAAGTCCCCGTCTAGATCAGGAGGTGTAGAGGTCCAGCTTGGACCTTTATGGAGCCGAAGCTTGTAAAAACAGCCGCGGCAGCCGACCACCAGTCTTGAGATACTTCCGGGTCATGACAGTTTATCGGCATCTAACAAGACCCAAAACTGGGTCGTGTTGGTTCAGCTTTTATTCTGAAAGGAACCATTGCAGCAGTTGAAACAGCAACATATTTTATCCAGCTTGTCGTTGGTTTTTTCGGTTGAAGAGGAAAGTTACAGATTGGCCACTCTGACAACTTCTCTAGAATGCTTTGAACTGGCGTTAGAGAAGACGTGGGCATAGTTTTATACTTATGTTGTTTTCGTTTATGGTCGAATGAAAAGATGACAGATTTACCAAGCACCACCAAAACCACGCCTCTGTCAGATCTGGCAGATTCTGATTGGATCAGTGAATGCAATGTGTCATGTCTTAATGCTACGTGAGATCAGTCCTATTGGAAACATTTAAAGTCATATTACTTATTATATTCTATAGGATTATAATAAAGTAATTAATATTTTAATTTCACAGATTGGTCACATTTTATTATTGACTTACCCCCAAATTCCACTACCTCCGCTCCGCTCCGCCCCGGTCCGCCCCCGTCTTCCGCAGCCGCTCGCTTCCGAACTCAATTTTTACTGGTACCCGCTCTACAACGGCTCCGCTCCGGTGCGGAGACCTGAGGTGCGCAAACAGGCATGCGCGGGATTTTCGAGATCTTGCGAAACAGTCCGAGCAATAAATGCGGAAGTTAGATCCAAACACCGGTTGTGTGGGAGAAGCATCGAAATGAACTGTTTAATCTGCCCTTCATTTGTGTTGAGAGATCAGCAATGTTTGGATCAACAAAGGACGACTACTTTGATAGTGGAAACTGTATTTATGGCTTATTTTTGTGCATTTAAAGTTCAACCGCCATTGATAGTTGTTAAAAGTTGTTAAACCTGTGCATACGAAACAAAAAACGCTTTTTGTTTATCGATTTATTGTGAAATAATGGAAGCTGTGCTTGCTCCCTTTCCTGTTGGGCGGTTGTGATTCCTGCCCATTGACTGCGGAGGTGTTCCGGCGTCCGGCAAAAATGTCCGGCAAAAATAGAATCGATTTTATTTTTGCCGGACGCCGGAACAGAGGACGGTGCACTGCGCCGCACTGCCGCAGCATGGCCGCAGTAGTGGAACAGCTCTGATTGACTACAATGGGACCGATTTTGCTGCGGAGTTCGTGCCGGAGTGGAGCGGAGGTAGTGGAATCTGGGGGTAACACTTTGTTTGATTAGCTTTATTAAAAATAAAGTTCTTTGATTTATTAAAAGGAGAGAGTCCATTCTTCTCTTGAGCTGGAAAGAAGCAGTTTATAGCAAATGCATGAGACCTTGAGGCCATATCTCATGCAGACTAGTTCTGTGTCAGAGGAGAGCGGGAAAATTACTTTTGGTGGAAAACAGTCATTTCATTCCGTTACACCGGCGAAGGGTGACCAAGCGTCTGTTTTTGAAGCTTTGGGAGCCCCAATGAACTGAAATAAGTAAATACAACTTAAAAGTAAAAATTAAAGAAAAAAAAAACAAGGAGCCAAAAACATACAGATGTCACAGAAACACCAGCACGAAAAGTAGCTGGTGAGCAAGCAGTGGATGAGCAGGAACTGGTCTCTGTTTCTTTAACTGAGGTCGTTGAAAGATGACTCTACAGTCTAGAAGTTTATTGTTCTTACCATTTATTTCAGAATTTAAATGACCATCATGTTAATTTGCTAATAATTTGCTAAAGAAAAGGCAATAAGGAAACATTAGATTAAAAAAGACTTTAAAGATCAGCTCTAAAGACTGAAACATATTTAAATATGCATGCTGGTTTACAATTAGGCCAAAGTGAATAAAGACAGAGAATGGAAAGGTCATATAAAAGTATCCTGCTGCCCAAGGCATCACTGGCCAGGACTGACTTAAGACTGACTGAATGAATGGATGAATAGGAACACGTTATATGCAACAAATTTAAAAAGCATAATTTAGTCACATTTAGCTCCCAATGACAATAAAAAAAAGAGCAATAAAGATTATTTTATTCAGGTTTTCATCATTTTCTTTAGGACATTTCCAAGTTGTCTCAATGTTTAAACACAAAAACAAATAATTAATACTTTATTCAAGGAAATTATATAAACCACAAGAAAATATATGCAGTTAAATTAAAATTTTTACAGCTGAAACAGGAAAGTAAATCTAAAAATATTTAAACTAAAAATAAATACAATTGCGAAGGTTTTGGACTTAAGGGTTAGGGTTAGGATTCTTAGTTATAAAAATAACTAACCTGAAATATAAAACTGCTATACTGTGGCAGAGAGGGTGCAGACATTTCACTTTAATGCAAAGGTTACATGAATGCATCATTTAGCAATGCTCCTGGTTCTTCCTTCGCCTTAAATAGTCGATTTGATTCTAAATATTTAGTCATCTTCTTTTATGTCTAAAATTGATTCTAAATATTAGGATTTAGATAGGATTCTAAATAAAATGGTTTTAAATTTAAAGTTTTGGGTTTAACTTAAGGTGTTGAGATTTGATTCTAAATGATTAGCTGTATTTTCTTATTGAATTTGATTCTACACACTTAAGTTTTAAGTTTTAAACACTTTTAACATGTAAAGATGACATGTAAGATGTAGTTGCACTCATTTACTTGTGTATCACAGGGAAAAAGGGCATTAGTTGCTGATATGTGTCGCAGCTTACTGAGACGCAGCTGCTTCATTAACCTACAGGGATGAGCTCTTTGTGCTTGAAGATCAAAAGGGGGGAGGTTGAAGGGGGCATGCGCACTGCACGGTGCGCTCCTACGACGCACCGACTCCACCGCCGGGACGCAAAGTGCTCTTCTGCCTGTTTTGTATTCACTAGTTTCTGTTCCAACCCGTCCTGTCGGTAAGGCGCCGCCATGCCTGCAGCTCAGTTGAAGTGAATCTGCTCAGCGCTCTGGAAAAGGTTCATGTGTTACAGAGAGAAAGGGGACCTGTTGATCGTCTGCTGGCTCTGCAATGGAGGTGAGACAGAACTCTCTGCACCTTTTGATGTCCGTCTGGTTGTCATGGTAATCGAGGAAACCTGTTGTGTCTGTAGAAACTGAAGAGCACATGTAGATTTGCAGCTGTATAGAATTAAACATACACAATAGCATTGATTATTTGATTGCATAGAAAACATCGGCACCACTTTAATAAAAACATACACATTTCATTTGGGTGCCATGAAGGACACAGCTATAAGCACTCAGTGCATCCCTGGTGGCCATCAATGGATCCTAATTAGATTTCAGATGAGTCGTTGTCATTTCCATGCCATCGTTTTGCAAATCAAATCATGTCACTCGTGTCACGCTTTGAAGCTATACAGACTCCCCCCCCCCCGAGTCAGAATGGTCGGGAGGCCCTGTGTCGCAGTTAATTACCATCACTGGCTGATAAAGCCTTTTGGAGCAGATTTAAATCCCACTAAAGAGCATTAGGTGACAAGCAAGGCACTTGAAAACAAACAGGGCACAGGCCCTGGAGGAGGAGAGGCAAGGGGGAGATGATACATGCTGCTGAACAGATGTACACTAATTATTCCTCATGTGCAAACAGGAGGAGGCAAAACGTTATTTTTTTAATACAAAGTGATAGAAATAATGTTTATTTCAAAGAAAACTTATTCTATATACTTTTCATGTGTTTGTCACAGGAGCCATACAGACGTTTGTGACATTTAGCAGACAACACAAAGAAAAGCGTGACTCCTGCGCCCTGTCAGGCACCAGAGGAGAGCATGGGTAAGTCTGTTCAGTCGCCTTCAGATCCAGAGGTCAGTTTAAATCCCCCAAAAGTTGCATTAACCTCAGTACGACTCTTCACCTCCGGCGTGATCTCAGACTTACCACGAGGGTGGAGGACACGCCGGACAGCAGGGAGTAGTTACATGTGCAGGTGGCACTCAGCTCACGCTCCTGTCAAAACTTGGTGGAGAGGAGTGCACAGGGTTTTAGCCTTCTGCCACATGCAATTACTGCAGCTGTGGCTCGTGCTCGTTAACTGCTACTCTGCTAAATGAGCAAAGACAACATGACCTGATGCAGCAGGAAGCGTTTGTTCCGTAAGTCTCGTAGACAATTATTGTTTCAGCTCCGGGCTGCTTATTGGCTTCACTAACCTGAATATTAAAAAATTAAATGCATAAAAGAAAATGTTTTGGAGACAAACTCATACAGAAGATGCATTTTTTTAAATAATTAGCTCATTTAGCCACCAACCACACTGTGATATTCTGATATTGTATGTAGAGTTAATCTACACACTGAAATCACCTCTGTTGATATGCAGTGGAGATTTCTAAAAATGACCAATCAGATTAACCTATGAAGCTTGTATCATATATATATATATATATATATATATATATATATATATATATATATCCCGGATACTTATATATCGATCTAAGCTCATACATCAACCTGTTTGATCTAATTTTAATCCAAAGATTAATGTTTAATTTAGATAATTAAATTTAATAGCAAAAGTTATTTTGAATCAGAAGCTAGGATCTTTGCTTTCAAATAACCAGAAACGTATGCCTTTTCTGCATGGACGTAATTTTTTGGGGGGGGCAAGGGGGACATGTCCCCCCACTTTTTCCAAAGTCAAGTTTTGACCCCTGCACTTTTTACCATCCAAAAACAATATTACGCAATATTAAATTGACACTGGTTGAGCTCTAGGACCAAGAGGGAAAACAACTGTTTGTGTTGAAGCCTGTTTCCCATTAGAACATACTGTAAGGAGCCCCCCCGTGTGTGTGCCCTCCCCCCCCCCTCCCACACACACACACACACACACACACACACTTCTAAAGTGAAAATTACGTCCATGCTTTTCTGTGTTTCGTTTCAATAATGAGGCAAGTTTAAAAATGAAGAAATTTTATTACTAACAATTTTAAACTGAAAATTTGAAACGACAATTATAAAATGACAATTCATGGATGGCAATTTTAATGACAATCTTTAACAGTTTTGATATTAAACTTGTTTAAAAGCAAACCTGTGGCTGGATGGAACTAAAATGAGAATGGTGAGTTTTGGATGCGTGAATGTAGTTCTCAGAAGGTTTCTTTCAGAGGGAATGAAAGCGTTCTGGGTGGAATTGATGTTTTGCGGATAACTGAGTTATTTTGAGAGAAACAGCATCAAACGCATCCTCGTGTTCTACCTCACCCAAACAGGACCCTCTTGTGGATCCGGAGATCAGGAGGATGGTGATTCATCCAAGATGACACTCCGGCTGGTAGAGGAGACGCAAGTGTCCGATCGTCTGGTCCCGAGTTGTCCTGGGTTCACGGGCTACGAAGCGTTTGGCAGATGAACGTTCTCGTCTTAACTTCAGAAATCAATGGCTCTGGTAGAGTCTTCGTTAGCTGGTGACAGTTTCGTTTATTCTTTGGCTTTTCTGGTCGGCGTGACTGGAACAGCAGGTGGCGGTTAGGAACGGCCGTTCCCTTTCCTCCGGTGTTGGTTCAAGAACTGGACGTGAATCTGTGATGGTTAGTTTTACCAAAAGCTCCCAGAACCACTCCCACTCTCTCCGGAAGAAAGCTTGCTCATGCGTCAAAAACATGTGATGCAGTTATTGTTCATCTGAACTCTGTGTTAGCTGGATAGGGTGGACTTGACCTTGTTGCTAAACACATCTTTAATCATTATAATAATTATTATTACCCCAAAGCATAATAATCCATTTCATTTAATTAAAATACCTTTATAATGAGCCAAGTGATCATGTTATGATGATTATATTAAACAGAAATAAAATCAATGAATTTATTAATTATTATCTAATTATTATCATCGTGACTTGACGTGTACTCCTGGACGGAACAGCAGATATGATGTTATGGTCTTGAGCAGACATCGTGGCTCCTTGGGTTAATCTGTGGATTCAAAAGTACTGTTTGACCCAGCTTGACCCAGCTGGGCAAATGTGACCTTTGCCACACATCAGAGAACCTTCGTCACGCTACATGTGCTAGAATTTTAGAAGCTGCCACCTAAAAACTTTGCTAAGTCCAAATAGAAAACAAATTTCCCTAATTAACAAACTACCCAATATGCAATAAAAAATATTATATTTTTAAGTACAAACTTACTAGATTTTAAGATTCTCCATCTGAGAATTTTGTGTCAAAAGTATTTGGTTTTGATCACAAAATTAAAGTAAAAGCAGCATAAAAAACAACTAATTTCGAGTCCATAGGAATTAAGATGGAAGGCAACATGCGTGTCCTACCAATCAAACATACTTGATCAACTTGTTATCAGCAACTGACCACAGGGTGTTTTTTTCGGTTTTATTTATTTATTTATTTATTTATTTATTTATTTATTTATTTATTTATTTATTTATTTATTTATTTATTTATTTATTTATTTATTTATTTATGTATTTGTTTATTTATTTGTTTGTTTGTTTGTTTATTTATTTACTTTGACTCAATACAATTCAAAGGAGTACAAATATTCCCAAGATTCTCCAGTTAAATTGTTTTCACTCATCCATCACATCTTTTCTGAGCAGAAAGCTATTGGGACATCCAAGAAAATTATTTTTCAGACTTAGTTAAGTAAATACTATCATTTGTCAATCGTTGTTTGTTGAAGGTTACATAATTTAACAACTGGTTTGAATGTAAACCTGACAAGGGTACATTTCCTTTGCATATAATTCCTCCACAGATACTCAGTGTGCCTTGGAAGCTGTGGAGAGACTGCAAGCCAAACTGAAGGAGAGGGGGGAGGCCCCCACTCAGGAGAAATTGTCCCTGCTGAAGACTGTCCTACAGAGCCCACTGTTTCTGCACATACTCAGCTTGCAGCAGGCTAAGCGCAAGCCCCCAGCAAAGGTACTAGTGCTACTGAGTGGGGGAGTTTGGTGTGTGGTGAATGACAAGGAAAAAGCGGAAATTCTTCATACACGGAATGCAGGAAACAAACTAGATGAGCAATCAGCTTAACTAGGCTTACCACTAAAGCTTTGTGATGCGAGAGACGGAGGGACGGATGCCAGAAGTCAGCTATATTTACACAATTCTACAGGAAATAAGAAGCCAGGTCAAAGTCTTTTGGCCCTGTTCATGCTTGTACGTTTTTATAACGTGATTACAATATAGCCATTAATCTGTGATACAACCCGATACGAATGACTACAACATGATAGGATATAATATGGTAGAATAGATTAGATCTTACCGTACCAAATGATGACATGCAACATGATACAAAACATCAGATATTACAATAAGAAGTGATGAAGTGTATTTTGATACTTTCATCTTTAATACTATATCACACGTATCATATTGTATACATTACATATTTGTATTGTACTGTGTAATTTTGCTTTACTGTGCATTAGACCAGTGGCTCCTAACCTGGGGGTCCCGACCCCCACAAGGGGGCGCCAAAGCCTCTCAGTGGGTCACCAGGACCTCTCCACTTTAAGGGGTTAAAACTTCATTTATTACTTGTTTATAGCGTACATTTTGCTCACATTTTTTTCACGAGTGAAAAGTTTACTGATATTAAGACAGGAAATAATTAGTACAGAAAAAGTAACACACTTTTAAGAACATTTTGCTCAGCTCACTGTTTTATTTTCAAGTGTCAAAAGTTCATTAAAGATAGGACTGGTTGATTAATCACAGCCTTTACAGTAAATAATCTAGCATAAACAGTAGTATACACATTTAAGTACATTTTGCTTAGTGTATTTTTTATGTGTCAAACGTTTATTGAAAGGAATGATTGATTTATCAGTGTTTACAAGAAACAATGTGTTCAGAAAAGTAATACAAACTGTCAAGCACATTATGCTCTGTTTGGTTTTGTAAATGACTTTGTTCTGTACTGGAGCCTACTATTACTGTTATCTATTGAATCAAAGCATATTAAAATGTGCTTGAACAATTTTATCATTTCTTAATATTGTTTGTACTGGAAGAGAGAACGTGAGGGGGTCATCAAAAATTTTACTGGTAAAAAACGGGGTCCCTTGGGAAAAAGGTTGGGAACCACTGCATTAGACCATACTCTACAACATCACACTGCTTGATATTGTATCCTTTGGGGCTGTGTTG